CCTTCTCTGTATTCAATATCATAATTATACTGGCCTATCTTTCCAATCCAACGTGCCAGTTGTCCTTCTGGGCTTTTTAATGAACTTAACCAGCGTAATGCAGCATGGTCTGTCCTGATGGTAAACCTGGCACCATAGTGGTAAGGATGGAAATATGTCCGTGTTACACATTAGTTCCTCTCTGGTCTGCTCAGGACCCTACTGAAGTAGGCCACCACATGTTCATTTTTGCCCACTTTCTGATACAACACTCCACCAATTCTGACATTACTAGCATCACAATCCAGTATGTACGGCAGTGAGGGATTTGGAAGCTTTAGAAGTGGAGCTGTGGCCCAATTTTTTTTTCAGTGTCTTAAAAGCATGCTAGCAAGAAACTGCCCATTCGAACTTCTGGTCTTTTTTGTCAAATCATGTAGTGGAGCAGCTATAGTTGCAAAGTCCTTCACAAACTTTCAGTAATAGGTACAGAGCCCCAAGAAACTTCTTAACTCTCCCACATTGTCCAGTGTTGGCCAATGTTGCACTGCTTTCACCTTGTAAGGATCAGTTTGCACACCATGCTCACTTACAATTTGACCCAAGTAAAGCACCTCTTTCTGGAACAAGTGGCATTTCTTGGGATGGAGTTTGAGGTTTGCTGCTTTCAAATGCTTGAATACTTCTTCTAGCTGGGACATTTCCTCATCAAACGTTGTTGCAAACACAATGACATCGTCCAGGTACACTAGGGATATCCTCCATTGTAGGCCTTCCAGTACTCTTTCCATCAGCCTCTCAAATGTTGCTGGAGCATTGCTTAGCCTGAATGGCATCACACAGTATTACCAGAGACCTTGGCCAAACTAAATGCAGCCATTTTCACTTGATGGAATCCTGATATTATGTCCGGAGTTGAAGACCACTTGGCTCCACTTAGAGCATCAAGAGTATCATCAATTCTTGACAATGGGTATGAGTCCTTTTTGGTTATACTGTTAAGAGCCGTGAAGTCCACACAGCTCTTCTGGACTAACACGACGGGAGCTGACCACGGGCTATCTGATTTCTTGACTATCCCTTCTTTAATTAGACCATCCATGACCTTCTCCATCTCTTGATGCTTTGCCGGAGCTATTCTCCTTGGAGGGATCTTTATTGGACGGTGATTGCCTATGTTTATTTTGTGCTCCACAAGGTCTGTGCAGCCGAGGTCATGATCTCTTTTTGAAAAGACGTCTGCATAATCCACCAAAAGTTCCCTAGCCTGAAGAACCTGTGATGATGACAAATGGACTATGCTCTTCTTTTTGAGGTCAGTTAAATGTTCCTGGAGAGGATGCCCTTTCTTTATGATTGTATTTCTTGCCTTAACATTGACTTGCTCTACCTCGTGGCACACACCCAACAATGCCCCTTCCTTAAGTGTCTGCTCACATTTAGAGAAATTAGCCACTGTTATGGGTACTACCTGATGACCTGCCACAAGTGACTTTCCAATCTTCACGTCTGCTGGCCTGAATGGGTCTTCCACTGCTTCCACTGCATCAGGCTTCCTTGGGGGATGTTCTTTTATTCTACCCCAAATTATCTTCTCTGATATAGGGGGTATTGTAGTTGACTTAAGTGCTGTGACATGCAAATCAACAGATGCAGCACCACTTATCGGAATTTGGCCTTTGTTGTTTCCAAACGTCATTTTATCGAAGTTAACCACACACTTCCTCGGTAGTAAGTAGCCCAACTCTAGTATGCATTGGTCTTCAATGTCAGCCAAGTATAATTTGTGTCTGTTCTTCATGCCCATGAGCTCAATAGTTACCCACACTGGTTCCCACAACCTTGCGTAATGCCATTTTGACTAAGAC